TTGGAACACTATATAGAAGGCCTTATCAGTACAAGATAGAGAGCTGAGTGAGCTTGTCAGTCTGTCAAAGGGTGAGATTCAAAACTATGTCAACAGGCTGGAAGGTCGGGATGGAGCCTTCAGATATAATCAAACTGATAGAAACTTAGGTTTTAAAAAATCCTTTACAGGAATGTGGTTGGGGAAGACTGACTCGGTAGAACTTCACAGCAAAATGACCTTGTTATTTAAGTTGACAGTAAGCAGGAATTTTCACATGGAGGCTATGTGCCCATCTTTAAGTATCCAATGGTTATTGATTTTTGTGTGTTGATTTTCTATCCTGCCACCTTACTGATTTTTCTTTGAGTTAGTTTTATCATTAATTCTTTAAGGTTTCCAGGTACTGTTATATCAGCTGCAAATAGAGATACCTGTACTTTCCCTATGCTTTCTCTTGTCCGACTATATGGGCTGACACCTTCAGTTCAGTGCTTCGTAATGGAGATAGTAGGCATTCTTGCTGTGTTCCTGATCTTAATGAGATGCCTCTTGTGCTTCCCCACTAACTAAGGTGCTCGCCTAAGGACTGATGGAAGTATACCTACAAGTGGCCTGTTAAGAAAGTATCCATTGATAACTGTTTTCTTGAGTATTTTTTATCAAGAATGAACAAAGACTATCCTTAAACAAACAACAGCACTGGAGTCCATACCCATTGACCTGCACACCAATTACTAGTTAATAGAATAATGTATTTCCGAAATATCACTAGCTTAACATTACGATAATTAGATTTCGAATAAAGCATTTAAGGTTGTAGAAGTATCCAGACACTAGTCATAAATACTTTCTGAAGAACGAGGTGATTGTTAAGTAAATTGACCACTGTCATATACACAGTTTTTCTAATTTGGGGGAACTGGTTGTTCCCACGTCACCTGAGAGTGGCAGCAGCAGTCAGGACAGCGTCAGCCCACTCCTGATGGCAGCATCGTGGGCGCCCATCGCGAAATGCTTTTAGGTGAATTGTTCCTGTGCCACTATGCACCTACATGGCACGTTCCTCAGTCGTACATTTGAGATCGTTTGCTATAAAAGACTAATTCAGCAGGCTTTTATAGTGCGTCCCTTAATGTCGAGTGGGCCCATGAGTAATTTTTTTTTTCTCTAAATTATAACTTTGTTGCAAAGATTCAAGCCCCTGGAAGCCTTTCTCTGTCCTTTGCAGGAGTTAGATCATGGAAGCGCAAGCACAGTGATTGCTACATGGATGACAAGTTATATACATTGTGGGCAACACTTGTGTATTGTACATCTCATTAGAGGATGAGTTCAATCCATCTTAATCTGATACTTAATCACAAACAAGAGTCTAGAAAGTATAAATGTCTTCTCCCATGCTTTAAAACAACTGGGCCACATCAGGGGTGCTGAATTTTGGCTTCTTGGCCCATCTTTTCTGGAGGAAGACACAGGATGCTCCTGAATGGGGAGATGCATTTGTGCTTCTGCTTAATCTTATGCTTAATTTCATTCCAGTTGGAGCAGGAGACAGATCCTAGAAAAAGAAGCTTCTTTTTGAAACTTATTTGCCAGATTGCCTGAGACATTCCTGAGGTCCTTGGTGTTGGAAGTACACTGATCAGATCTAAGACCTAGGAGATGATTGGCAAGAAATTAATTCCTTGAGAAATAATTAACTCCTTGGCAATAAACTCCTTTCTGTGGTCTGGGAGACCTTACACTGTCTCCACCTAGACAATGTGTGTATCTGTGTGTATGAACACACAGCAAGCCACTTGCCCCTGCTCACTGCAGAGGACACGTTGGCCTTCTCGTACGTCCTTAAACTTGACACACTTTATTTTCTACCTGAGTGCTGCTCCTTCTGCCTGGAAAGTTCTTTCCCCACTTTCTGAAGTAGTTCTGCTTCATGATGATTCAGGTCTGGCTTAGAGGTCACCTCCCCAGAGAGGCCTCTTCTGACCACCTCATCCAGGAGAGCCCTCCCCGCTACTCTCTGTCCCGTTACCCTGATGTATCTTCTTCGTGGCACATATCCCTGTCTAAAATTATCTTGTTTGTTTATTGTATTACATGTTTAAAGTCTCTGTCCCTAGAGAGAAGGCTTCAAACAAGGACCCAGTGTTTTCTCCACTCTGTCCCCAGTACCTGAAATAATGCCAGCCTGTCGTAAATGTTCAGTAAATTTTTGTCGAATGAATGTATGTATTAATTGAATATACCCTAGTTGCATAATATCATATGTGGGCTCCAAAGGCTTAAGTTCACATATGTTGAGAGAGACATTTATATTGCTTTAAAATGAGACAGTCAAGATGGGAGCCAGAAACGGTTTTGTGTTACTGCGAAGCAGTTTTTTGCTGTAGCTCGACCTGAAGGTTTTAAACGGCTAGTGTCACCAAGAGCTGAGCAGAATGTCAGCCCTTTTCGCTGTTTCTTTTCCCTTAGTAGGTTTCAGTCATGTCTTTTATTTTCAAAGGTTTCTAGTAGGCATTAGTAGTTTTTCAGCTCTTGTCACGAATTTAAAAAAAAGATCCTATAAAGAAGACATAAGTAAGTTTAGGGACTTAACCATGTTGACGGATTGCAAGATTCGACGTAGTAAAGAAGTCACGTCTCCTCAAATTGATCTATAAATTTAACGTAGTTTCAGTGAAAATCCCAGCAAGATTTTTTGTAGATATAGACAAGCTGATTGTAAAATTTATACCAAAAAAAGCAAAAGAACTAGGATAGCCAGAATGATTTTGAAAAGGAATAAAGCCAGAGGCATCCCCCCAACTCGATTTTCAGACTTTCTATAAGGCTGCGGTAATCAGGAGCATGGGATTAGTGGAAGAATCTGACCCACAGAGCAACGGAATAGAACAGAGTCCAGAAATAGATGCACACAAGTATGGCCAGTTTTTGGCAGAGGTACAAAGGCAATTCAATGGAGAAAGGATAGTCTTTTCAACAGTGTTAAAACAATCGAACATCCACATGCAAAAAACAAACAAACAAACAAACCCCAAGACATAACCCATGGACCTAAACCTTCTGCCTTATACAGAAATTAAAATGAATCACAGGTCTAAATGGAAAACTAACACTTTCAGAAGAAAACAAAGAATATCTCTGTGACCTGGAGCTGGGCAAAGAGTTCTTAGATATGACACCAAAAGCATGAACCATGAAAGAAGAAAATTGATAAAATGGATTTCATCAAAACTGAAAACTTTTGCAATGCAAAAGACACTATTAAGTGAGTGAAATGACAAGTTGCAGACTGGAGAAAATATCTGCAAATCACATATCCAACAAAAGACTTTTATCCAAAATGTATAAAGAACTCTCAAAACTCAACAGTCAATAAAACAAACAACCCAATCTAAAAATAGGCATAAGAGTTAGACACTTCACCAAAGAAGAAATGTGGATGGCAAATAAGCGCATGAAGATATGCTCAACATCATTATTTGCTGTTAGGGACATGCAATTAAAGCCACAATGAAATACCACATACCTCTTACAATGTCTAAATTTAAAAAAGAAAGGATACCATGGGATGAGGATGTGGAGCCACTGGAACTCCTCTGCAGTGCTGCTGGGAATGCAAATGGTCCACCACGCCAAAAGTTTGGCGGCTGCTTACTAAGTTAAACGGTCTCACTCCTGAGTATTTACTCCAGAGAAATGAAAAATTGTGTTCACACGAAAACCTGCTCATGAATCTTTATAGCATCTCTCTTCATAACTGCCCCAAACTGGGAACAGTCCAGACGTCCTTCAGTGGATGAATGGATGAATGTGCTACATACATGTGATGGGACACTGCTCTGCAATAAAAGGACAAGCTGTTGATGCCGGTGACACCGTGAATGAATCTCAGAGGCACAATGCTGAGTGAAAGAAGCCAGTCTCAAAGCTTATGTACTTAAAGACCTAGAGTGTAGTGGTAGTCGCCAGGGGCCGGGGGAGGGGAGGATGGGAGTTTGTGTTTCGTGGGTATAGAGTTTCGGTTTGAGATGATGAGAAGAGCTCCAGGGGTGGACGGTGGTGATGTTCGCACAGCAGTGGGCGTGTATTTAATACCATGGGACTGTATACTCAAGATGGTAAATTTAACGTAATATGTTTTTTCTCAATAAAAAAACCGTTTGTGTACTGCCTAATTTATTTATGACATTCTCGCAAAGACGGTATAGTCAGGGAGCACAGGTCAGTGGTTGCCAGGGGAGGGCGTGGCTACAAAGGGGCAACAGGAGGGCATGTTTGCGATGATGGGGCTGTTCTGTGTGTTGATTGTGGCAGTAGTTACACATGTTAACACATGTTAAAATTTTAACACATGTTAAAATTCGAAGACCTGCACACTAAAAAAGAAAATCCGTTTTACTCTACGTGTTGATTCAGAAGTGAAAACAAACTCCCACTCCCTGCAGAAGTCGCTCCAGGGTGCACAGCACAGAACCGAAGCGGAAGAATGCATGCAGTATTAAAGCGATTAAGACGAAGGAAAAGCCGTCGGGTCACCCCGATCAGTATGCAAATAAGATGAAGTTTGCCACAAAAACTAACCACAGGCTTTTTACATATCTTGATTGCAAAAGCCTGTTGCAGTGATTTTCACATCCTTTTTTGAAGGTTGCTACTGCTGACTTGTAAGAAGTCACGCCCAGCACTGGTCTTTATTCGTATTTCAGAAAGTTTTCAATCCCAGCTTTATTCTCCTTGCGATGGAACTTTGATTCTCCGTTGTTTGCGTTAGCTGCAGTTCCCACAGCGGTCCTGGGGACGCCCTTGTGAACCAGGCACCGTTCTCAGGTGGGGGTCGCGTGGGGGCTGGGTGTGAGGCAGTGGATCGTGTCTGGGCCTTGCAGCAGAGTGCACCCTAAGGAGACTTAGGAAATTCAGAGTCTGGGCTGGGGTCTGGACAGGAGAGCGGGGGGAGGGGTTGTTAAAACTCTGTCGTGGTCATTTTACCGAGAGCCTGCTTTGAGATGGTGGGTAGAATGGGAGCCAGACACAAGCAGGCAGGAGCGAGGGAGCCAGGGTTAGTAGGAGTACACGGGAAGGCCATCAACCAAGGCTGGGGACGATCTTCCCTGAAGGAAGACTTCCTAGAGCTGGTGACTCTGGCGCCAGAGTCTGGAAGGGCGGGGAGAATTGCTAGAAAGGACAAGGAGGGCGCGCCACATGGAGGGCGAGAGTGGACCGTGGAGGGGACGGTAAAGCCTTTGGTACAGGTGGAGAAGGTGTGGCGGGCAGCGGATGGGAGAGGACACAGTGGAGCAGGGACCAGGGGTGGAGGCACCAGTGCCAGGGACAGTGACCATGCCTAAGGCAGGCTCGTGAGTCGATTCCTCAAGGCATGGTCCTGGGCTACCTGAATCGGTCACCTGGGAGGAGCTGCCTATGGTGCCGACGTCCAGGGCCCCTCCAGGTCAGACATTCTGGCTATGGGACCTAGAAAGCTGCAGTTTTAACCAGTGCCCAAGGGTCTGGAGTCAGAGCCTCCATAGTGAGAAGCGGGGACCCACCGAAGAGTTTTTTACCAAGAATTATTGTGTGTGGGTCTCGTTCATGTTGTGAAACAGCTCGCTCCTGGAAACC